ACATGTAGCAATAAAAAAGAAATCATCTGTTAAACCACCATAACACACAGTGTATTTAAGTAAATGTTGGGTTCACCTTGTTTCTCTCTGGCTGCTGCTCTTCATTCACAGCTAAATGACAAAAGACTAAAGTCTCATTAGTTAATTGTTACTGAACATTTACTCAGCTTTGGATTTGTTCATCATGTGCAACAATTTATAAATCAACTGTACCTGTCTGAAGTTTTCTGATTTTAACAGCCAGAACAATGATGACTACAGTGAGGAGAACAGTCACACCACCCAGGATCACACTCATTAGGTTTGTCATTCCATCAGGCTCCTCTACAACACAAATGATAGGATTTGANCGACTACAGTGAGGAGAACAGTCACACCACCCAGGATCACACTCATTAGGTTTGTCATTCCATCAGGCTCCTCTACAACACAAATGATAGGATTTGAATTTGACTTGCACAATAGTAATACTGGCTCTGTTGCGCAATGAAAAAAAACACAACCTTACTTTCAGTCTCAAAATCCTTCTCACCGTCTAATTCACCATTACCTTTTAAAAAAAGAAGAAGCAATTTAAGATATTGGTTCTTATTTGTCTTTAAGCTGTTTTCCCAATACTGTGGAAATAAATTTGAGATATACTGTAAATATGATTTCTGAAAGAAGTACTGCTTATTCTTACCTTGAACTTTCAAATGTGTTGCATCGCCAATGACTGTATGTGTGTCTTCGTAGAATCCACAGAAATACAGTCCAGAGTCAGATAAATCCACTCGCTTGATTGTAAGAAAGACAGTGGAGATGTTGGAGCTCATTTCAAATCCACTTTGAAATCCATCACAGAACGAAGTTCCACCATCAGCCTCATACATGGAGGAGATGCAGCTGGGCTTGGTTCTGTTGATCAGTCTGAACCATTCGGTCTGACACGGTCTGCTGGAAATGTTGGTGCACGTTAGTGTGACTTCTTCACCAGGCTGGACCTCCACAGTGTGAGACTCAGAACCTGAGACAGAGATCCAGCCTGAAACAAACAGTAGAGTCAGCAAGAGATTTACCCCTTTTGGATATGCAACAACAAAACATCTAAATTTGTTCAATACAAAGTAATTTGAGTGTGAAAATATAACGGTGGGTGTCTGCATAAAAGGAAGATCAGAATTGTATTTTCTGCTCAGAATAATTCAACACCAGTACTTACTGAGGCTGCAGAGAAGCAAAACTGTTAATAAGGTGAAACTTTCCATTGTGCGTACAGCTGTGTCATAGCAAGGGCAGTTTATATCAGTGTAAAGGGGCTTTCATTTGAAAGGGGCGGGGTGTTGAATACATCACTACAAGGAAGCTCAAATCTTTCACCACCGAATATCTGTGCCCGATGCAGCTGAGACAAAACAAGTATCAAAGAGTTTCAGACGGAAAAATAACAATTCTGCTGCTGCTCTTAGAGTTTCATACAGCCGTCATGACAGATATCATCATCTGATCTTTCAGTCTGATACGGCAGCTCAGATTGTCAGATATGCATAATATAAGCTTGTTGTTATTAATCCATATTAAGTATGCAGTTGAACCCCAAGGTGCATAGAAAGCAAATAAATCTGACCCATCCTGCAACCTACGGCGATTTGTCTTGGTGACAGCTGTTCATGTGACTGTTTGTACTAACGTGATGTCAGTTGTTGCGTTTGAAAAAATGCATGTACTTCCACTTCCACTGGATAAATGAGACTTGGATTATTCAAATTCAAGGTAACATGTGGTGAGTAATTGATATACAAATGGACAATTTGCAGGTAAAGTATTACTTTAATAATATGACTGAAGCTACAGTACTGTTAACACTGGAATAGCACTGGGCCAAGTATGTAGCCCTGAGGGACACCAGTAGTCAGCATGATGGCACTAGAGATGTATTGCCACAAACTCTGTGTTGTGTCAGTGAAATACAAAACACAGTGACAGAGGTGGGGTGTAGACCACCAAACTGCCATTCTTCCTCTTCTTGCATAATCAGTTCACTCCTGCCCAAAACATATGTTCAACTTGTCTCCTCTAGGAGGCACTACAGATCTCTGTCTGCCAAAATATCCTGCCCTGAAAACAATTTCTTTCCCACTGCCAAAACTGCTCTGAACTCAACCTCTAGATGTTGTTTTTTCACATTTGTCATGCAGAGGAAAGTTTCTGTGTGCTCACCTTAAATCTCAGTTTAAGACTTATATGAGCAGAATGTTGTGACATCACATCTAGTCTGGAAGCTAATCATGGTCCAACATATAACTTACACCAGTGTGATGAGAAAAATTGCAATATCCAGTTCACATACACTGAGAATGGACTTTTCAGCGACATAGAGGACATGCTGTGTCCAGCATTTAAAATTTTAAATGAAAAAAACATCTGTGTATTCATAGAGAAGATATATAGAAGAGTTTTCTCATTATCCACATGGGTGGATAATGAGACATTGGGAGACATTGGGCCCACGGGCACAGATATGCACAGGGCCCCATCACCTCACCCAAGACATAGAGACTTTGTGGTGGATTTGTGTCTCTTTGTGGTTGTTTTATATGTTTTTGTAGTAGTTTGGGTCTCTTTAAATTAATTTTGTGTCTTATCAAGGTAAAGTTGTGTCCCTTTGAGGTAATTTTGTGTTTACTTTGGCCATTTCGTACTGCTCTGTATTCATTTTGTGTCTCCTTATGGTTGTTTTGTTTCTCTTTGTGGTTGTTTGGGTCCTTTGAGGTAATTTCATGTCATATTGAGATAATTTTGTGTCTCTTTGGGTAATTTTATATCTTGTTTGGTCATATTTCTGCCACTTCATAGTCGTCTTGTGTCTCTTTGTAGTTGTTTTGCCCCTTTTTGTAGTACTGTTGCATCTCTTCGTGGTCATTTTCAGTCTTTCCTGGTAATTTGAGTGACATTTTGCAGGTGAAGGCCAGTGGGGTCCACGACACTTTGGGCCCCTGGGCCTGTAGGCCCGTTAAGTAATCCATCCATGGTCACAAAATAATAATAATAATAATAATAATAATAATAATAATAATAATAATTCATTTGAAGAGCACCTTTCAAAACAAGGTTACAAGGTGCTTAACAATAAAATGATTAGTG